AGATGTAAAATATCCTCCCACTCTTATCAGTCACAAAACAAAAGGCGCTCTTGAGCTGGAAGCCAGGTTATAATAAAGAGTTGTTGTTAATGTATGTTCCTCATGCTCCTAAAACAGTGCCAGATGGCTGACACCAAACCTTGTTCAGCAAGCGATATGATTTGTGTTTACATCCAATAAATTTCTTAATTATCAGTTTTAACCCCTTTATTTCTTTTTATTGGCCTGACCATATTTGTTCTTAGTCATGAACTTGAATATTTTGTTTTTGATCACATCAGGTGTTTTTTATTTTTGTTACTTTGTAAAAGCATGTGTCACTTATGTATTTATTGTAATACTAGAACAGTCTATAGTAGGGCAATAATAATAATAATAAGGGTAACCCGACCAAGAAGGGAATGACCTAGAGCCATGAAACTTAAATTCTATTCCATATATTCACCCCCAACTTCAACACACTTGTCATACTTTTTCTTAAGTTTCCTTAACTCTTCAAAAATTATTCTGATGACTGGTCATTGTAGTATTGCTCTACTGCTATCACTTACAAATATTTAATCCCTTTCAAATAATGTTTAAAAAAACAGGTGGATCAAGATCTGGTGAGTGGGGGGGATGGTGTATGCACTGAGACCCCACATTCTGCAGGTGGTGCATTGCAAAAAGGAAACACCTTTCCACAGCTTCCCTCTGTGTTTTTCTTTCAATACCTTTAATCCGCACAACAAGTTAGAATAGTATTCTTCATTAAAAGAGAACTATGGGAGCGCAATGCAATTGGACACTTCTTGTGAGTGATACCCTCACCGACCGCTCTGGATAGACCATACACAACATTTGAGAGCATGCGTCGGTAGTACCCCCCTCCCCGGCACGATATCTCGATTTTATATATAACTTGCTGATTCCCCCCCCCTCAGGACTATCTCCCGCCCTTTTTATTTCGGTGAGAAGAGGACTTGAACAGGGAACTCACCCCTACCCAGAGAGACAATGTTCTAGCTATTGCTCATAAATCTTCTATTGCAAATGATTATCAAGAGGCAGGGTACAAAACTCTCATGCGTTGGTATAAGGTTCCAACCGTTTTGCGCAAGATTAATGGCTCTGTTTCTCCTTTGTGCTCGAGATGTGGCTCCTCCCCAGGCCCTTTTCTGCACATTTTCTAGTCGTGCACAAAATGACCAGGCTTCTGTAACACAGTAGGGGAAATAGTGGCGCAACAGACAATGGTAGACCTGAAAGATAACCCTGCTGTCTGCCTATTACACCTGACCAAGTGCTCTCTTAAGTACAGATCCTCCCTCACGGTTCACCTGATTAATGCTGCCAGGGCTTGTATTCCACTGCTATGGAAGTCTCCTCATCCTCCCTCTATTCAGATGTGGCTTTCCAAAGTCAAAAATAACTCCAGGATGGAAGACCTGGCTGCTTCCTTAAACACTGAGGAGAAATTAAATTCTACTTGGAGCTCCTGGGTGTATTTCAGGTACTCCGATCGCAATCTCCAGTACATGACATCATTGTCTTGCAGATTCTATCTTGCACGTTGTGTGGGAGATTGGTGCTGGCCGCTCAGGGGTGATGGAACATCATATGTCCCACTGGCTCCTGGAGCAGGAGCTCTTTCTTTGTCCTCTTCTCTTCCTTCTTTCCTTCTATTCTGTTTTTTACTTTAACACTGTTATCTACATTTCTTTTGCACTCTCTCTTCCTTATCTACTTAGTTTTACCCACCTGATTTTGAGGCGTTATACCATATCCCAACCCTTCTCCTTTTGAATGGACATTCTTCGTTCTTGTTATTGATAAATGCCTAAGTACTGATGGCTCTCATATTGGATATGTTCGCTTATGCTGATCATACTCTAATGGATGTGCACATTTATCTTTCAATTCGTATGCAAAGCAGTTTTTACTTTTGTTTACTATTGCTTACTGTTATCAGTGTTGTAGATACGTTTGGATAGTGTTGTAGATGGCTTGGATATCGATGTTTTGTGCTGTCATTGGTATACTTTTTTGATTTTGTTTTATTAATAAAGAATTAAAAAAAAAAAAAAACTATGACCCAACCTTTTTTTGCCATAGTTCTCTTAAGGGTCACAAGACGACATATACTACTATATTGACTGACAGTCGCCCTTTTCTGCAGGGAGATGATCGGGAATTAAGCGGTATGTGATCGATCAGTTCTCGATCAATAGAGCTGACGGGTGATAGGTGCAGTGTCACATGTCTGCTCTAAGTATGCGTATGGGTGTATTTCACTGTCCCCATAATTCTCCAACTGTTTGGCCCTTTTTCAAATAATCAGTCATGAAAATACCTTCATTAGCCCCCAAAAAACATGGCGATGAGCTTTCCAGCTGATTTTTGGTTCTGAAATTCCTTTAAATGTGGAGAACCCAAGTCCTGCTGGTCCAAAGATTGCTTGGTCTCCCCCATATACTGTAGTGGTGTAGCCCAGTTTTATCAACAGTGATCATTCTAAAAAGAGTATCTAAAAAGTTCCCAGGATATCTAGTGTCTCAGCAATTGTTTTAGCTAAGATTCGCTAATCTGCCAAGTCATGCCCACAGTGACTTCAACTTGTGACTTCAGGAGTCAACACTGTTGAATGCCTCCCAGTTCTTGCTGCATCTTCAAGCAGAGAATATTTCTTCATAGTTGAGTTCGACAGGCACTTGCCACTCAATGTTTCATCATACGCTCATGGATTTCTTTTGGAGTTTTCTTCTGCAGACACTTTATGGCGGCCTGTAGTTCAGCACTTTAAAACATCTACACTTTTTTTGTTGATATGAAAATTATCTGGGGAAAAAATGAAAATTGGGGCTACATTCCTGCACATTTGCATTTTGCAATAAAGAAAGCACATTTCTTTCCAGCTACAATAACACAATAATACTCAGATATTAGGAAGTGGGTCAAGCTGAGAACTTTTCAGTACCTCTTTGTAATCATAAACGCTTGCCTACCGCTGTATGTTTTAAAATGGAAGGTTGGTGGCCGTTTTATTGTGGAGTACCGTTTTTTAAAACTGCATTCTGTTTACTACTTGTTCATGTGCTGGGCATTAGACAGCACAGGTCATAGGCAAAATAGAGTAAGTCAGAGGTCAGGTGCCTTGTGTTTGCTGTGATGACCTATCACAAATATAAACTCTGCAAGTGTTTACATTTTATAGGTCTCCCCTTCCACTCACTATGGATAAAGGGAGGCATGATGATCTTCTGAATCAAAGATTGAATGAATTAAGGATAGGCAGCAGCAGATTTGATACATTTTAAAATGTGATAGTTTCTTAAACCTTTCACCCCTCCCCACCTCTCCTATACATCTTATCTATCCTATATCAACACCTTTGCCCCCCTTATCCTGCACGTTATGTTCTCCACCCTCCCACTGTATGGGATCTGTACATTAACCCCTTTATCACCTTCTCCCTTTGTGTATGACCTGTAAAGTAATGATGCACTGTTTCTATTGCATCAATACCATGATTTAACCACCTCAATACCAACATGTTTGTTCATTTACAAAAATGTGTGACAAATAATTAGATCACCTTGAATTGTACACTTTCAAAAGGGGGCCATTTTGAGGCTCTTTGTACTGTCCTGGCATTTTTATTTGATACGTTGTTTTATAACAGAAAGCAAATGAAACAGCTTTTTTTTTCTTCTCCAAAATGCCCCCCCCCCCCCCCCCCCACGCACACATA